TCATGTTTCAATCCGTTTGCAAGCCAGCTTATTAAAAACAAATATTCAAGTACTTTCATACCTTCTGAACAGTTTTAGTTAGTCGCTCAAAGGCAGTTTACTTTGATACAAAATGACTTTGATGTAAAATGGATCTGTAAAAAAATTTGTGAGTTTTGAAATTAAATAAAAATTCGTATTTCAATCCGATCGCAAGCCAGCTTAGCGAAAACAAATATTCAAATACTTTAATACCTTCTGAACGGTTTTGATTAGTCGCTCAAAGGCAGTTTACTTTGTCCAATGTATTTAAATTACGTCTCAAAGTTCTGGAAGTATAAAAAATTCGTGAGTATTTATAATTAAAGAAAAAATAATCCTTCAATCCGTTTGTAAGCCAGCTTAGCAAAAACAAATACAGTATTCAAGTACTTTTATACCTTCTGAACAGTCTTAATTAATCGCTCAAAGAGATTTTTTTTTCTAACAAATGTTAAAAATAAGAAACCTGCCATTATTTTTTTAATCATACAATTTTATTAAAGGTCAAATGATTCAACCGTGAAAAATTTTAACAATAGTTGGCACTTTTTGAGTAAGCATGTCCTTCCCACGGGAATTAGATTATCCAATTTGCACAATGTTACTGGGAAAATTTTACTATGTCAAGGATTGCCCAAAGCTTCACGTTACATCAATTTCTATCCTTCGTAAATCCTTTAATCTGGAAAAACTTTACTATGCCTAGAGGTCGAAGAGATCACCTGTTACCTTTTTCACGCTACAAAATTTAAATAAACCTCATAACCGTAGGACCAATAAAAGTGGAATTACGGAATCTGAAACCCACCAATCAAAAGTCTTTTAAAGGCGACAACAAGCAATTTACTAATAGTAAAGATAGAGATAGAGATGCTGCTCGATTTTTACATTTTCCAATTATGCATCAATGTTTATTCTAGTACGTGATTTTTGTTGTGTATTTATACAAATACAATATGCAATTTATTGATAAATTGTAACATGTCAGAAATATATCGTCAAATAAAAATCATTTCCCTTTGAAAAATGGTAAATGACACGCAAACAAATTAGATATAATTATAAATGATTGGATATATATAACATTTTTACTAAAAATCTATCTTTAATTGCTATTTTTTACTTCTATCATTATACAGTATACAAATAATAATAAGTTTTATATTGTATTTAAAATAGCTTTTTGCATTTGCATAACTAAATTTCACAACACCTAACGTCCAGATAAATAATTAATTTATTTGTATATTACAAAAATCATTCATTGCAATACTTTTGTGAGTCACTGTACGTCAGGGATGGTAAATGATCAGGTCATTTTCCTATTTTAAATGACCCTCAGATGACTTTTCAAATGACAAATGACCAAATGAACAGGTCATTTGTTAAATTATGCAAAAGTCATTTAAAAAGTCATTTAAATAACCAATAAAAAATCGAATTAGAAATTACTTAAATAAGAATATTATACACGAAATAGGAAATTTTTAATAGGCGATAATCAATGGAGGATTTTCGATACAAACAATGATCAACAGAGGATTTTCGGATTTTTTTTTACATTTTAACGACTTCGCTCGCGATTAAAAAGCGTAGAACGATTTTCTGCTATAATATTTCTAAGATACAAAGAAAGTACTTGTTCTTGGCTACAAAATTATATGTATTTGATCCCAATAGCATCGATATTTGCGGAGTTATTTGCGTTTAAATCCGGACGTCCGTGAAAATTATGGCAGAAAATTTTCACAGATGTTTGAATTTTAATGTGAATAACTCCGCGAATATTAATGCTCCCGGGAAGAAACACACATCATTTTATAGCCAAAAACAAGGTCTTTCTTTCTATCTTTGAAATACCTTAGTAGAAACGCTGGACGAATTATATCTCCGGAAATTTTTACGTTTTTTGCAATTTTCTAAGATAGAAAGAAAGACCTTGTTTTTGCTACAAAATGCTATATACTTCATCCATATTCACGGAGTTATTCACGAACGTCTGTGAAAAACTTCTGCCACAAATTTTACGTAATTCTGGCCAGAATTATGAAACAAATTTTTCACAGACGTTCGAATTTAAACGCGAGTAACTCCCTGAATATCGATGCTATCGGAATAAGATACATATTATTTTGTAGCGAAGAACAAATTCTTTCTTTCTATATTAGAAATACCTTAGTAGAAAATCACTCTACGCTTCGCAAAAAGCGAGCGAATTCGAAAAAAATGCATAAATCCTTGATGTGAATATTGGTATACGATACCCTTGAAATAAAGAAGAGCCAAATTATTTGGTGCTATTCGGAATGAAAAAAATTTCTTTCGTAAAAGAGAATGTAGCGATAGCAAGGATTGTTGTCCGCTTAAATATTGTTCGGAGAAATTCGAATGTTGTCCGGCAGCGAAAAATGATACCCGCCAGGAGCCTATTGTTGATACCAATTGTTGTTTTTATAACAACAACGACATCGACAGCATTAAAATAAGTCTTTTTCAAAGAATTACTTAATAAATACAAGACTCCTGTTTACCGAAAAACTGACCAAAATGCCGAAGGTAATACCCCAACATATATTTTATTTTGTTATAGAAATAATGTCTCAAGTGACCTGATGATGTTTATTTTTTAAAAAAAAAAGAAAATGGGGTTCTTTTTTCATTATTTCTCATTTCTTATTTCTGGTTTTATTTTTTATGTATTTCTCGTCCCTTTTTTTTTTCTCTACACCCTCTATTATTTGAATATTAAATATAATTTATATTATCTTCTCGAGTTGATTTATTTTAGAATGATTTATTTTGTAAGGATGAGGAATTTACGTGTAGTATTCGTATATTTAATTTTTATATTATTTCTAATAATAAATAGTAATTAAATATAAATACATCATTCATTTAAATAATGACAATCGTTCGTAACATCACCAGACCAAACTTTCCATCGTCCTTGACATTTTTTCCTTCTCTGGTTAAGATCACTTGGATTTTTGTATATATATATATTTGTTTGATTGATCGATTGATGATAGATTTCGGATCAATATGCATAAATTGACTTTTTACATCAAAAAATATACGTCTTAATACAAAATCTTTTAGAAATATAGAACTTAATTGGTTAGAACAATTAAACATTTGAAAAATGGTTTATTTAAGGATCAGTAAATATTCCTAGTTGTTTTTGATCAAGCTTTATTAGGTTAAAATAATTATAATTATAAATTTGAGAATGTATTATATAAAAATAGTAACATGAATTTAAAATTTCGAAAGAAAAATAAATTGTTTATGGATATTTATAAGAAAAATATATTAAAATGGCAAGGTAATAGTTAAAAATATAAATCTCATCTCATTGGTACAATTTATAATGTAATAAAATAATTAAATTTCTTTTGTAAATTCCAATACTGGGACAAAGTCACAAGTTGCCAAACCGCATAATATATGCTTACATAAATCAATAAAATATTTTGAGAAAAATTTAAGATTTTTCAATTCCCTGTTGTAGAGGTTCTGCAGTGTATGCAGGAGGAACATCATAATTTCTAGTCCCACTTACACTACCAGCATTACCATAGTCATTATTGGCTCCGTAGCTTTTATCAATTAGTTGAACAATATCACTCTTAATAGGGGGACGAGGTCTTATTCGATTTCTTCTCATATAATCTAAAAATTGAACAGGAATTTCTTCTAAAACTTTTTTCGGTAATAAATATTTTGAATATTCCGTTTGAAAATCTTCCGTGACTACAAATTGTACAATATCTCTTTCTATTTGAGAATTACCGTCCTAGAATAATAAAGATAAAACATATATATTTAGAATAAGAATATATCGATAGATACTAGAATAAATATTTATGTAAATTGAAAATTCATACGTACAGTTAAAGGCACTTCATCTGCAACCAATTTATGCATCTTGGTAAAATCAGCATTTCCCACACCGACAATAACTATTGATAGAGGTAATGAACTAGCTTTGATTATTGCTCTTACTGTTGATTCCATATCTAAAGTTATGAGATTATTAATAATAAATTTATATATGATTAATAATAATTTATATATAATAAATAATAATAATACAATATACTGTATAATAAATATATAATTACCTGTTATTACACCATCTATATTTAATATAAATATATATATTAATATATATAAATATTTAATGTATATTTTATTTAATGAAATTGTTGCAATAAAATATTCAATGATTAAAAATTAAAGTTTAAGTTACCTGAAATTATTAACAATACATAATAAACCATATTATTTCCAGCATCCAATTCTGACCTAATTCTTTGGGCTGTGTGGTTTATTATCTATGCATTATTAAATAATAATACAAATAATATAATATAATATATAAAATAATATAATACAATATTTAAAATAATATAATATAAATATATATATATATAAATAAAATATTGACATGATATAATAATAATAATCACAAATAATGAAATGATAACATACAGGAGAAAAATTCGTTGGCCCAGATAATTCAATCGAGTTCATTGTTTGTGAATATGCAGTTAGTATTCCATCGACACCTGTAACCTCAGGCTATATAAATAATAGATAATAAATAATAAATAATTAATAGATAATTAATTAATTAGATAATTAATAATTTAATAAATTAGATATTGAAATCTTACATGTTTATGATCATTATTCAATGGATAAACATGTGACAACACCCCATTAAATTTAGCCCCAAATCCATAAACCTATCATATCAATATCATTAATTAATAAAAAAGTTTATATAATAATAATATAATTAATTAATTATTGTTAATTTAAACTTACTGGGAACTTTTTATCATAATCATATGCTTCCAATCTACATAATTTTAAATATAAATATAAAATATAAATATATAAATATTAAAATATTAAAATATCAAATATAAATATATTAAAATATTAAATACATTTTTCCCACACTAGAAATAGCTTTCTGATAAGAATTTTCCACATTTGGATTATTATAATGCAAACTACTAGAATATAGATGATTACCATTTGAACTAGTAAAATCAATTGCCGCTGCTAAATTAATTTTTATACCGCCAGCTATATAATCTAAGAAGGTAACTTGTTCATATATAGAAACCTTTCGAAAACGTAAAAATATTCCACTGTTTTTTTTTGTTGATGATGATGATTGAAGTTGAAATGTTTTATTATTTGAAAATAATTCATTAAGCGATAATGTACAACGTCCAAGTATTGGTCGTGCTATATTAATATTTAATAATTTAATTGATAATATATTTGAGAATTGATAATATTGATAATTAATAATCAATTATTAATAATTAATAAACGAAATATTTGAATATTTACTAAATGATATGAACTTACAAGATTTCCTTTTATTTATTACTTCAATCAATAATTTTCTATGCTCATCTCCGTTGCCTAATGTATTTTCTGGAACTAAAAATATAAAAAATATAAAAATATTAAAAATATATATTAATTTAATTTACTTTCTCTATCATTCAATACTCTTTACGCTCGACAAAACATATTCTGATAAATACATACTTTCAAATTCTGGCCAAACTGGATTTTCAGAAACAATAGATTTAGATTCATAAACTGATGAAAATGTATTATCCTCATTAGTTAGACTCATTCTAAAATATAAATCTGGTTTTTTTTTAAATTTTCCGGAGCATCCCTTAGATACCATTTGGTTAACTTGAAGTTGTAATCTCACAATTCTTTTAGATTGAACAAATTCTTCGGCAAAAATTACGATATTTCCACATTTCTTTATTGGATTGTTTGGATCATATAAATTTCCCTGGATTTTTCTTCCTTGACAACCCACTATTATTTATTGTTTAATTAATTAATTTAATCACATAAAAATATATGAAATGAATAATACAATAATAAAATAATTTACTTAAAGATCCAAGATTAAATTCAAATTGTCCAATTAATTCTTGTTGTCTCCAACCTTTTTGATTTGGTTTATTTACATGAACTACTATAAATCTAATTTATATGTATATCAATAGGTTATGTAAACATCTATTATATATAAAGTTATATAAAAATTAAATTTACCTCAATTCTTGTAATTCTTCAAAGTAATAATCTACCAATATGTTTTTAACAAAATGAGGATTTGTATCATCTTTAATTACTTCGGTAGAACGTGAAGTTGTTGTCCAATTTTTTGTCCTTTGATCTTTAATTAATAAAAATACTTGAGCGTTACTCCTTATTAATTCTTTGCAACGTATTTTTAATTCTACTCGTGAATGTGCTTTGTTTATTTTAGACATTTTTAGTTTTTCGATAGTTTAAAAGATTTACTATATAATGGATAGGATTAATTAAAATTTATTTAAAAAGATATCTTCGTTTCGTCTATTTATATTTAATTTTTTTTTATATTTTTACTAATTAAATCTAAATTGGGAATTTTAGGCGGATAAATGTTGATCATTAATTTCTAAAATTGATTGTCTTAGAATATTCTATTTGCTGACAGATTTCTAAAATTGTTTCGCCATTATTAATTTCAGAATTTCATTGTTATTTATTTCCTATAATTAAAAAAAAAACGAAATTCGTATCAGAAATAATTGAAGTGAATAAAAATTTTATAAGCAAACAAATCCGCCTAGAAATATCGAGAAATATTGGAGTAAATATTTAAAATTAATATGTAACCATCTGCAATAATTAGAATCACAACGACCTTTTTCTTTATTTGTTTATAAATAAATTGACTTTTTAAGGAGCGCCGCCTTTGAAAAAGGAAATGATTTTCGTATTTTGAAATATTAATTGTGTAATAAAATAAAAAAGTAAATTATTAATTTTCGTCTTACAATTTAGTATTTTCGCGTTGGTAAATCAAGCAGAATTTTGTTTTGCTAAGATTATAACAATAATTTACTTTATTGCCAACTTAGATTATGTTAAATGTGAATATATAGTCAAAATGAACCTTTTACGATGGAATCCATTTTCAAGTATTAAAAAAAAATAAATAATATAAAAAAAATAATAATAAAATAATAAAATAAAAAAAAAAATAATAATGAAATAATAAAATAATAAAAAAAAATAATAATAAAATAATAAAGATCGTATTCAAAGTGTAAGTACTAATAAAAAAAAATAATAATAAATTAATTAATAACATACAACATTTACGAATTCGATTTCAAGGAAAAATTAATCAAATAAAAATATATTTTAAATTTTTTTAATAACAAGGAAGATAAAAAAGGATACCCTGGTTTCAATCTCATTAATAGTCGAAAAAGATTCGTTATCGTGATCTTTATTACAGTTTGCCTTGGTTTTTCTTACAATTATGCAAATAATTTTTTATAGTAGTTAAATATGAAATATAGATATTAAACATCTCTCCGAACCAAAATTTTAATTTTTTAAATGTAAATACAATTTTAATGATTTCAATGAATATAATTATGAATTTTTCATATCCTCACCTCGAAAATTAGAACTTTCAATTGAATATGCAATATGACTTCTACATACATCCGGAAATTTTTTTAGGGGTAAATCTCCGTACATAGATTTACGTATAATTATGTACAATAACGTAAATTTATGCAATATTATAATTTTACATAAATTAACATGAGATTATACGTAAATATACATAGGTCCTTTAATATTACGGAGATTTATGCCTAAAAAAATTTCCGGATGTAATAACAATTTTGCACTAATCTATTATAACAATTATTTATATTTGAAACATAATAATAATAAAAATATCTCGTACAAGGTGATATGATCGTTCTCGAAAAAATATAGGCAGCTGACGCAACATCTTTAGAATATTAACCTAAAAAAAACTTTTAATAACATACTTCAATAAATAAAATAGCACACCAGTTTCAAATAATGTAACTTATTTTTCGGAATTACTGAATTTAATCTAACGTTCTTATTAGTAATATAACAAGATTAAGTACAAATTCCAATTATTCAAAAGCCATAGAATGTATGAAATTAAAAGAAAAATGCACATTTGTTATATAAGTTTATGTAAAAATTGGTAACGGATATCCACGGATTATCCGTGAGCTTTTTCACGGTTATGAATATTTATTCGTACTATCCGTACTTATCCATATTTATCTGTGATTATCCGTACTTATATCCGTGGATAAAATAAATATTTCGCACAATATAATATAAATTTTTTTATAAAACAATAAAAGAATCGGAAAAAGTTATTACATATTAACTATTTTATTTTAATAAGTAAATGTCCCAAAAAATATTAGTTAACTTAAAAATAAGAATGAATTACGTATCATAGTAAAAGGTCAGATCTATATCATGAAAATTTAGAGAACTGTTTGTGGTTAAATTTCGAACAGGCGAAAAATTTTAAACCAACAATTGTTCGCACAATTTTGATGATATAGCTTCTTACGGGAAATGCAATTATTTTTATCTTTGAGATTACTTAGTACCGTTTTTGACTTTCACTATATGAAAGTTTTATATGTAGAAACGATCGACGGTTTGTATATATGTATGTTATGATTATTATAATTACATATAAAATAATAATTATAACCGATGATTTTGACTTCGCACGTGATTTACGAAGCGTAGAGCGAGTTCTACTAAAGTATTTCTAAGATAGAAAGAAAGATCTCATTCTTGGTTACAAAATAATATGTGTTTCATCCTGATAGCATCGAAATTCACTGAGATGTTCGCGTTTAAATTTAAATGTCCGTGAAAAATTTCTGTCATAAATTTTCCGTAATTCTGGCCAGAATCATGAAAAATCTAGAAAATTTATGACAGAAATTTTTCATGAACGTTCGACTTTAAACGCGAATATCGCCGTGAACATCGATGCTACCCGGATGAAACGCACATAATTTCGTAGCCAAGAACAAGATCTTTTTTTATCTTAAAAATATCTTTTTAGAAAATCGCGAGCGAAGTCTAAAAAAGTAAAAAAATGAAAATCTTCGTTGATCATTTATAAGGAAAAAAATAATTATATTTTCGAAATATAATATAAATAGAAGATTATATTATCTCACGAAACTATAGATTATTTTCCAAGAAAACAATTTGCTTATCATATACTCACGTTACCTATATATACATTCCAAGATAGAAAATAGTAAGAAAATATAAAATACTTAATGACCTATACCAGAAATCAGGTGAATATTATTTAAAAAAAATAAAAACAAAATATAAGGACTTACCTATTGTCATCGCGCGAAACATAGGTTAATCAAGAAAATAATTAAGTAATAATAATAAAGTTATAATAAATTTCCTATTTAAATCCGCAAACTTTCATATTCATTCCAAGGACAAAGTAAGTGATAATTTATTTTTTAAAAATAATAATGATAATAATAATGATAATTGATTATAACACGAAACTAAAGGAAATAAAATCAAAATAAATATTAAAATTTAAATTTTATATCCGCGATCTTACAAACCAACCTCCTCAGTTAAAAAATAAAATAAATCAAATAAATAAAAAAAGCTCACGAATCTTATCCATTTTAAATTAAATGAAAAAAAGGAAGCTTATGTGAATTATTGTTTGCAATATCCATAAATATAAATTTTTAATATACAAACAATGATATTTACTTTCTTCGTCACTGTACGCTCAAGAAATGTATAGAATATCGGAAGTTTGCATTTCGGGTATCAAGGAAATAATTTACCTAGCCGTTTCTCATTTAGTAAAATTCATTTTTAATAATATACTAACGAACGCTTATAAATCATATGCATGTGTTACATATGTAAATTTTTTGTGCCAGAAGATTCTTATTCTTACTAAATATAGCTGTATCATTGCTTTAAAAATAGAAGATTCATTTTATTTTCTTTCCTTAACGAATCTTTACTGTAATTATATTATTCTAATCCTTGTACTATAAAGACAATAAATTATACGATTGATTATTTTGTGTGAATTTATTAATAAATCATCACGATATAATTAGAAATATACAGTACAGAAACAACAGATAATTAACAATATCCAGAAAGCGCCATATAATTAACAATGCAAGATTCATTTCCCTTCTTGATACTTCTCGTCGTCCAATTTATACAATTTCCACCATCAACTCTCGCTTATGTCAGCACCAACCGTCGTTCTTCTTGGGTTTTCTGGAGTTATGAAGATGGACATAGGAGATGTGAAAATATATGTATAATAATATTTGTAATAACCGCAGTTTTATTAGCAGCATTATGTGCTTGTGGTATTTATTTATGTTTGAAAAGAAAATACAAAAAAAATAATGATGAAGAAAAAGAAGAAATTCATAGTGAAGAAACTGACGGAAATAGTATGGATAATATTTATGTTTGAATAGATTCAACCTATTTATATTTATATCTTATTTTATATTTATATCTTATTTCAAAGTAATAATTAAAAGATAAAATTAAAAATACAAGTTAATCCTATATTTTATTTCTTAATTACAAAACCAATTTATTCAAATATAAATTTGTGCTGTTACTACCTGGGAGAGCAAGCTTTACTAAATTATAGTTGTTTAGCTTGGTAGTGAACTTGTGTGCTCAAATTATGTGAGTGATTATAAATATTAAAGATAAAAATATTAAATATAGAAAGAATTCAATTAAGCAAGAATAATGTTAATTTATCTAAATAATTAACCAACAAATATAAATAACTATAACTAATCAATAAATAAAAATACTAAATCAATTCAAATAGCTAAATCAATAATCAAATCAAAATAAAATAACTATAAACTAAAATCAATCAAAAATTAGTAAACAAAAATAAAATAAGAAAAGGTGAGTTTGGGTATACAGGGTTCCTTTAGTTATTTCAGTGACACTTTAAGACAAAAGTATAAAGTGATTGTTATTTTTATTAAAATAAAAGAAATAGGAATTGTATGAACTTTACAAACTGACTTGGACAAGGTAATTCCTCTTGTCCTTATATACATGTTTCTTTCTAAGGTACAGGACATTAATTAAGGCACTCAACCTCTTTTAGAGTCCAGGGATAATTGAACCTCTATTGAGGCATTGTGCCTTCTTTAAGGTGTTCGTGGTTAAGAAAACTGAGTACCTTAATTAGGGTGTAAGAAGATCAGGACTCTAACTGAGGTACTTACGTTCCTCTTTGAAAATCAATTAACCTTTTCTAATCTTAGCTATTCTAAAGTTAATAATTCTTATTACAATTCTAAGATATTAATTTAATTAACTACTTGTACAAAATAAAATAACTATATAAATTATGTCAATTCTATAACTAATACAATAATTACTTAGCAATAATAAAAAATAAATAAATAATAATAAATAATAAAATATGACAAGAAAGAATAAGAAAAAATTAATAATAAATAAGAAGAAAAAATTAGTATCAAAATATTATAAAATCAAATTATCTCTTGATTACCTAAAAACTAATTAATTGAATTTTTACAAGATATTTATATCATAAAAATAAATGAAAAATATTTTAATTTAAAAATCGTCATCTAAACAAAATAGAATTAAATGATTAATACTTGCTAGTGATTACATGAAAAAGATTCTGTACTCTTCAAATTCTTTTACAAAATTTTCTTCATTCTTAGGTTTGGAGATTTGAAGTCATTCGAGACATTTTTTGCATTTTGAAGATCACAAAAGTAATGTCACCAATTGTCTTTTTCAATATTTTTTTTTCAGTCCTGTCAGTTTAAAAAAAAATAAAAATAAAAAAATAAAAAACATAAAAATAAAAACAAAAAAAAATAAAATAAAAAAATAAAAATAAAAATAAAATAAATAAATAATAATCTAATAAATAAATATAAATCTATGTACTATTTGCGATAATCCATCTCGCGACCTAATATTATGATTTGTTTTGACCAATCATTCTATTCGTGACTTTCAACTCGAACAAACTTTCGAATTAATACTTCCTGAATTTTTTCAATCAATCGATTAATTAATATAAATATATCCCGGAATAAATATTTTTATTATCGCAAGTATCACATCCAAAAGTATTGGTATTCAACTTGTATGAATAATTTTTCTTTTTTATATACAAAAATATTTATAATTATCTCAAATTAATAATTAGATCAAAAGATAAAATTAAAATACTAGATTTTATTTTATTTTATTTAATAAAAAAATCTTAATTACAAACAAAGTTAATTGAATTTATACTTAGTGTTGACAATAAATTAATTTAACTGAAATATTTATGTAATAAAAAAATAAAAAATGATAAAAAATGAAATTTAGAATTCATCGATATCATCACCTAAAAATAAATTAGATTAATATAATTAATCAAGGAATAAAAAATAAACAAATAAAAAATCATATATAATTAATACTTGCTAGTGATTTTGTGAGAAAAAGTTTTTGTTAATTCTTTAAGATCTTTTTTAAAATTTTTTTAATTCTTAGGTTTTGGAAGATTTGAAAAATTGAGAAGTCCAATAGTATAAATTACTTGTGGATATGTTTTAGAGTTAAATGAAGTTGTGGTTATTGAATCTGTTGTTGCTTGATTTTTAGATAATTCTTCAGCTTCTTACTCTCCATTTCATTTTGTTTTTTTCATGAGTTGTTGGGATTCAGAATCATACTGAAGTTTACTATTCATACTATTTAGAACAATAAAAGCTTTTGCTAATATTTAAATAGCATTACCTATATATTAAAGATATTAGAAATAAATATATCAAAATATTTGTATTATTTGTATTAAGAATAAAAATATTAATATCCTACTTGCACGATTGTTTTCTGTCAATCATTCGTATATTCTGTGTTTTTATCATTTGTATCACAATATACAATATTTATTAGATTATAATGTGGTACAAGTTTTTTTCTATTTCTTAACAAAAAAAAATGGCAACTAAAATTCCCACAGAAATATTAATTAAATTTTAAAAAATGTTGAATCATCTTATTCAACTAAAAATTTATATTCATCATTATTAATTAATCGAATCTGGTGTAAAGTTACTATACCTATACTTTGGAAATCAACTTTGGGTCAAATCTTATGGATCGATATGGTAGAAAAGAGAGCATTATGTATTCGAACTTATATATAATGTATGAATACTCAAGCTAGAACTTTACTTATTCAAAATGGAATTGATTTATCATCATCACCACCTCAAGCCACTCTTGATTATCCATCATTCACTCGTAAATTTGCAATTAATAATTTAGTTCAATTCTCGATTTACCTGGTGCCCAAAAGTATTTGAGGAATTAAAATGTTTCACATATGGAAAAGTTAAAACACTATTTGGACCATTATTTGAATCATTAGCAATTTTTTGTCATAATATTTTAAATTATGAAACTAAATTTTGATTCAGATTCTAAAATTATATTGTTATCAAAACTTATTAGTGCCCAAAAACGATTAGAAAATCTATTGTTTCTAGTCATCAAAATTTTGATTGTGATTCATTGTTTTGGGCTATCATCAATCAAAAAGAAACATTAAAGAGTCTTCGTTTAAGATTCGTAAACTTAAATTTTGTTGAGAAGAATTCATCACCAATTGGTCAATTTATTTCACTGCAAGAGCTTTCTATTATAGAAGACTCCGAATTACATAAATCGGATTGTTTATTCTTGGCTTCATCATTTACTCAATTAATAGTTTTTCATTATTCTCGTATAGGATTTGCAGTTTAGAAGTATTCTCAAGAATTTATTATAAAAATTCTCGAAACAGCAAATACAAATTTAAAAAATATTCATTTCGATTTACCTATTACATTTGATATATTTTCAGCAATTATAAATTATTGTACAAAGATTACCGACTTAAATTTATATAATCATAATTTAAAGACCTAAGCAAGTAGTATCAATATTTAATAATAATTTTGATGAATTAAGAAGATTTTCATTTGGTTGTAGAAAAGGAATAGAATTTAATTCTAATGAATTATTATGTCAAATGGCCGAGAATGTACCAAAATCACTTGAAACTATTAAAATTCGAATGAATTATGACTGATCCATGGATATTTAGTGCTGATAGTTTAAGAAAATTTTTTGAGGGGTTGTTTTGTGAAAGAGGAAGAGGAAATAAAAATATTAATTTTACTAATCACCGCGACAATTTACGTTAAGTGATGAACATTTTAAAGTTATTGAAGAATATGGAGTTCAATTTGATATGGATTAAATATAATATCAAATCGGAAAATTATATTTAGTTGTTGTGTGTTTCATTGTATTATTCAGTTTTTTGTTAAATTGAATATGAAAATAATATACTATGGATTAAAAATTAACGAAAGATAAAATTTATGTAATTTCTAGAGATCATTTTTATATGATTTCTTATTTTATAACCTAAATATTTAGATTTATTAATAAAATTAAAATCAACATTTATTAATTAATTAACATAAATATTTGAGGATTATCATGAACTGAAAGATCTAAATCTTTAACATCTATTCCAATTAATAATTATTATGGAATGGCTTGATTATATAAAAAAAAAAGAATTCTATTTCATGATATGAAGTGTATGGAATAATCGATGAATTGTTTGTTAGTGGAAAGTTACAGGACTCTTGTTTATTAAAAAAAAATTTTAGATTGCAATTCACTCAAAAACAAGTAGTGAATACTCTTCTCTCAGATTTTATGGAATTACACAAGATCAGAACAAACGAATATATTATGGCTTAGAATACATATATGAATGTTGGAAATCTCGAGATTAAATGAAAAAGGATTTCAAATAATATTAAATGGAGTATTGAGAATGTTTAAAAAGAATTAGCATTAGATTTTAAGAATAATAATGACGACAATGATAATAGTAATAATAATCACTATTTGTCTAGTTATTATTCTTCAATGATTTATTGATGATAACGAAGATGACGGTATAGAGGACAATCGATATGATAAGATAATAATGTTGTCTAAAAATAATATATTTTTAGGAAATTTTAATATTTATAATACCTTGTTCTAACATTTTTAATCATCATTATACTGAAAATTCATTGGAAATGCTTGCAAACGTTTTCATTTATATTCAAGTAAATTTAAGTTTTATTATACATATAATGTATTTAGTGTTCTTGTTTTAATGTCACAAGAAACATTAAAATGTGTGCCAATTATGGATAATCAGAGTATTTTCTAGAATTTGTAATGGCTTTTATTACATAAAGCAAATCATCATTTGTATGATGCGATGCTTCAATTAATCCAATTAATTAATTAATTATAATATATAAAAAAGATAAAGATATTTTATTTAATAAAAAATCTTAATTACAAATTATAATATCAACAAATTTTATAAATTAGACGTATCCAAGTCACAATCATCTAATTAAAAAAAAAAAAATTAAATTAAATGTGATAATTGTTATAAGATGAAAAATGAATATAATATAAAACATAATTGATACTTACTAACACTTATTTGATAAAAAGATTCTGTTAATTCTTCAAGTTTTTTTTCTTCATTTTAGGTTTTGGAAGATTTGAAAAATTGAGAAGTCTACTGGTATAAATTGCTTGTGGAATGGTTTATAATTTGGAGTTATTGTTTGATTTTTGGAAAATTCTTCGGCTTCTTTAATTTGAATTGTAATTTCGTTATTATTAATATTAATATTATTATTATTTTCATGATAATCCTCCCTGTATTATACAACTCAGCAAGTAATTCTTCAAAAATGGGTCGATGATTTGCTCGAGCATCCCAGCATCACATAATAATTCGTATAATTAATTTAGGTGTGTGAAGTGGAATTTTTGGTCGAAATCCGTTACATATTTTAATAGCCAAATCCTTATTATGTGACACATCGTGATATGGAGGAATTCCAGTAATTATTTAATAGGAAACGAATGCAAATGAATAAACATCAGCAGCCTTTTATTATTCTTCCACAATTAATAATTCAGGCCCCAGAAATGGTATTCTTTTGTTAATTTTTTATATTTCTTGTAATTAATTTACTTAATCCAATTTCTGACATATACACTATTTTTTTAAATATTTTCGAGATGAAGATCACGATGAGTATATCTAACTTATGAAATTTTGAAAATTCATTAGCTAAATAGAATAATGGAATAATGGTATAATTTAAAAATCCAATTGATATTATTAAAATTATTGATTAAATAATTTCTAAAATTTCCACCATTATAATATTGTAAAATCATCATATATTCGTGAGTTTTTAGATCTTTAGTAATTCCAAAAAAAATCTAGTTGAAGATATTTTACCGATTGATTTTAAGGGAATCGCCATCTAAATTAAATTTTTTTTAAATCATGATTAATATAATATACAATATTTTCAAATAAATTTTCGTATTAATTAAAAATATTATTTTACCTCATTTAAAATCTTTATTAATATCTACAATACCGCAAACTTTTTTATTACCACTTCAAGTTGACCTTCTCTATTCCATTGCTGATTTTCAATATTCCAACAATCAATAAATCAATCGATCCACTCAGCATAATAAATAGTACCAAAATCACCTTTTGCAATTTCCTTAATACTGTATCTTGAAATCTATCATTCTACAATAATCAGCATTTAGTTGAGCATCCGAATTTATCTATGGCTTCTTTTCCACTTGTCCATTTATCAAAATCATTTTTGAACCGTGTTGAGTCGCATGTTTGCACCACCGTAAATATTGATCGTATTCTTGATTGCATTCTGAGCATATTTCAGGCATTTCTATTCACTTACAAAAAAGAAAAATACAATAAATAAATAAATCCGTAACGGAATTTATGTTTTTATGAAAATTGCTCAAATAATATGGCGTGCCGAACAAGAACAAATTTCTATCACAGGATTTACTCAAATGTATTGGTGATAAGATGGCGCTTGTAATACAGTTATCTGCAATATGAAACGAATTTTTATATTTATCTCATTATACGAAAAAACATAAGTTTACAATCGAAAACCAAAATTAGATTTGGCGTAAATTATATTTAGGAATTTTCTAGTCAAAACAGGTACAGATCCGGTGTCACCAGAAATTCTTCACCCACGTGTTTTCATACTTTTCATTTAATAAATTGCTCTAAGTTAGAACTTTTAGCCCAATTAGAATTGCATAAGTACTTAAAAAAATTATATGATTTACAGTTTAAATGTTTCACGCAAGAAACAATAAAACGCCATTTTCGGTATATTTATATCCTACATGCCGCCCAAATTCAAAAAAGGAAAAAGTAACAATAAAATTTTGCTAATCCCGTTTCCTTTTTGAATTTGGGCGGTAATTATCTGAACTGCAATGTGCAATGTGTCTATACTATGAAGTACAAATTTCTGAAAAAAGAATAAGTTGTGCATACAAATGGCATTTTGGTTTGTAAGGGTAGATATATAGTATAATTTAAAAGCCAAATGACACTATCCATATATATGTATCAGAGTTGCTTGTAAAAAAAAAAAAGACATATAAAGTGAATAAAAATTTACTTCCATTGAACTTTTATGTTCACAAAACATGTCAAGAAAATTACATTCAAGTTTTCTTAATGAAAATGAGGAAGTTTCCTCGTTTTTCGGTAATCGCACAGCGATAAGTCCAGACAGTCAACAAATTGTTACTTTTAGTCTAGGTAAAGTTATTGTTGATCATTTATTAATTATTGCACCGATTATTTCTTTTTGCCTTTAATAATTTTTTAACATCTTTAATAATATACTTAATTAATATTTAATAATTCATAAAATAATAGAGACGCGCAAATTTATGTTCATGAAGAGAATGTGAAATCTATCGAACACCTACAATTATGACAGTCTTAGATCTTAAATGGCCAGCTGACCGTCTATATTTTATTTATCTTATCATTTTGTATATATCATATGTTATTTCATTTAGTATAATAGTTAGTTCATATTCACCTTATTTATTTAAATAAAATCAAATACAATAATAACAATTAGCTTTACTTCTACTGGATGGTATTTAATTGTTACGGAGATTGTGCAATTCACAAGGGAAGGATTGTATCAATATATAATTATTTATAATATGTTGATCTAGTATCATTGTTATTGCCGGCAGCAAATATTGCATACATTCTGCGATATTCAGCACATAATTTTTTTTTTTAGCATCTACAGCTTTAGTTACATGGCTTTAATTGGTAGGCTTTTTTTGTCTTTTTTTATCTCTTTCTCTCTTTCCGGACTAAATAAACTTTTTAGTGTTTTTATTATTATTATTATTCCCATTAATAAAATTTTTATTCTTAGTTATTTTTATCAAGATATTTTAAAGGTCCAGGACGTTTTATTTATATAATTAAAAGAATTATAAGAATTATTTTGCCATTCTTGGCAGTCATGCTTATTGTCGTATTTGCATTTGGTTACGCTATGTAATTATAATAATTAATGAATTTTGTTTTCATTTTTTGAATTATTTTAAACATTAAGAATTATTTTATTACATTTTGTTATTAGGTTCATTCTTCTTAATCATGCGGATGACTTACAAATTCCTACTTATAAAATTAAAGACATTTCGAATTCAGATTTTTACTCAAATATAACAATTTATCAGAATGTTGATAAATCTTCCCGACTTGATAACTTTTATCAACATTTCATCTCATCGAAAGAAGCTGTATTCTTTTGGACTAATGGACGATGGGATCAAAAAACCAATGGGATAGTTACGCTGTATATATAATGAGTATACTAGGAAGCATAATATTAGTGTTGATTTTCCAAAATATGTTGATTGCATTTATGAAGTAAGTTTATTATTTATATTACTATAAATTATGAATCTTGTAGATTACAAAAGTTGTAAAAATATTTCTCTTTATTTCTCTTAATTCAATAGTGATGAATTTGATGGGGCAAATAAAAAAAGCTTTAAAGAAACTCTTAGAAGTCGTGCTAAAATTATCGCTAAATATGAAGCTTTAGAACACTTTTTTGATAGAAAAAGCGATAACCTTCGATACATTTATTATATCCCTAATCCTGATAAGATCGTTGCCTGGCTTACGGAAACTGAAAATGATGAGAAACAAAAATCACGTCTTATGAGTGAGAATTTAGCCGAATTGACTGATTATAGCGATGTTGATGATAATGATGATGACAGTGGTGACGATGACAATGATTACGATGATGATGATAATCAAGGTAATATGATGAGTTGGATTTAGTTCTGTTTGCAAAAGTTTCAGTCCTAACATGAATAAAGTTTATTTAATTTAATTTAATTTCTATTATAAAATTTAGAAACTACGGATCCGGACCATATTAAAATCAAAAGTCTTGATAAAATTTCATTTATTGATGAAGAAATTTTTTCGTTCGAAGTTGTTACTACCAAAATGAACAAGAAATCACAAAGAAGCAAATTATTGAAGAATTTCGGTTATAATAATTCATGTAATGAACCTTCATCCGAAGGTGATCAATTATCAATGCGAGTGAGATTTAATAGCCTGAACAAAATTTAAAAGCTATATTAGAAACTTTAAATAACCTAAATAATCCCAAATAAGAATTTTTTAGATATTATTTTCTGATTCGCTAAAAAGGGAAATTTTCATAATGGAAATTGGCGATCATATATCATTAAGGTCAAAAAAATTAATGAGTAAAAATAAAATTTTAACGGAAAACTAAAATTTTTTTGTTTGTTATTTATTCACGTTGTAATTTTTTGGGTTAGTTATAGTATATCAAGCCTGAAAGTTCGTATTTCGTTTTTGGTAAAAGGAATGATTTCCATTTTTTTTTGGATTTTTAATAAATAAATAACATATTGGTATAAAAATGAAAATTTTTTTGGCAACTTAGAGATAACGAAAAATTCCATATAGAAAATCTTCACTTATTGCATCAAAGAAAAAGTCAATTGGAAACAAGAATTTTCAATATTTTTCAAGAGAAATATCAATTATTTCAAGAGGAATATTGATTTTTCAAGAAGAATTAAAGAGAATTATAAATACTTGTCTTTGTGTTTGATTGTTAATAGAACCAGAATCTTATGATTTAGATAATTCAAAATTTGAAATTAAGAATCTTCTTTCATGCGCCAAGTTATTATTTTGGTTTTATTAAAAGAACGAATTCAGAGATATCCTCATATAATTCCTAATTGACATAATTAAATTTGTTTTACACGTTAATAGTATACGCTGATCTCCAATGAACAATATTGAGAATGAACTTTAGACCTCTTGCCATATTGATTTTACTTTTCCAATCAAGCTCGAAAATTTTTTTGAAAATAGGTTTTTTCCAATTATCATCTTTAGCATAACTGTCTCACCAAACAATGTCTCCGTTGAAGGATCTTGATAATATTTGTTGAAGATTGAATAATAAATAAATATTGATAAACGAAAAAGTAAATAACAAATTAAGGATTTATTTTGTTCATATTGTATTGACTCCATAAATGTTGATAATAAGATCGTGATAATTATATATTTAATTTTATCTCAAAATATTTTTGTTTATTTCTAAAATATTTGTAATCATATTTTCCTGAAGGTTTTGAATTTTTTTTAAATGCATTAACCTAACATTTTGATTTTCTATGACACTTTTAATCATCATTTTTTCTTCTTTCGAGAAAGAAATTCTTTCAAAATTATTCATCTAAATGATTGTTTTTTTGGCACATAGATTAAATATGGAAATTACAATCGTCACAATGTGCAATGGAGAAACTGAAAAATTGATTTACTCAAAAAATAATTTAAAAATAAATTTTATCTTTTCACTTATGAAATCTTACAAATGACCTTAAACTAGAGAATGTAACGCATCATCTGTAAAATTTGTAGACCCATTATTTAAAAATTGAGCAAATGGTAGCCGATTAAATTTAAAACTTTAATCGTTGATTATTCTCTCAATTCTTAAGGAATGGGTCCACAAATTTTACAGACGATGCGCTACGTTATTGAGTTTAAGGTCACTTAATACCATTTTTAATTGTTTATAAGTGATTGAGACTCTTTAAGATGTAGTAGCGATCGACGATCCGAATATTTTCAATTTGAAAAATAATTAATAGTCATCATCGTCGATCGTTGCTTCATAGAAAAGTGTATTATTCACCTATAAACTATCAAAAATGATATGAATTTAATGCAAATGCATTATCTGTAATGTTTTCAGAAATATTCCTTAAGAATTGAGACAACAATCGAAAATTAAATCAGCTTCTATTTGCTTAATTCTTAAGAGTGTAAGCATGTCTGAAAGCTTTATAAGAGATGCACTGCACTGCATTCTCTAGTTTAATAAAAAAAATTAATTCATGAAAAATACCAAATTGAACGCACGAAATAAAAAATACTTTATTTCTTTTTTTTCCTAAATTATTTATTATTTATAATAAATAAAATATTGATACTGATTATGTAAATTTTCAGAAAAAGATAATATTTTGAGATGAAAAATTTGTGTAGATATCAATGATCTGACTGATCAATTGATTAAGGGATTTTGGATAAATTTATAAATGATTTGTTTAAATAATCATAATAATAAACATGCTTAAAGCTTTTCTTAATAATTCGAAAAAATATGGCAAGTGAAAAAGTCAAATAAAAACGAGATTCATGCCTATTTATAGTTAAAATCATTATGAACAACAAAAAAAATAGGGAGGTTAACACGATTACAATTAATCTGTTACTGATTATCATTGATCTATTATTCCCTTTTTTTTTCGTGAAGAAATAATACACATGATAGGTAAAAAATTTTCACCGCATAATTCAATAAAAAATATATACAAAGGAAAAAGTGGCGATCGATGCTTCACATGTAGTTGGTTATAAAAACTGAAGATTTTTTATTTGGTCGTGAAAAAAAAAACAAATCATCAATATTTTCAAGTCTACAAATTTATTTTCACAATCATTCAAGCATTAATAATTAGTATTTTTATAAATTATTTATCTATCTTTTTGTTATTGTTAAATAAATTATAAATTATTACACGTCTCAAAAATCAAATAGTTAATGTTATATTTTTGGTCATACCTAGTAATAGTTTCGTTTTCATTCGATTTTTTTTTTTCGTGTGCTTCCATATATGAATAAGAAGTGGTAAATTATAAGTTTTTTTATTGAGCCTTTCAAACTAAGGTATTTCGAAATTACTAATAAATCTCTAAAAAATGTTATAAATTTTATAAATTTATTAATTAAAATTTATTCTATTTATTAGTTTATTTTTTATTCGGAAAAGATGTTGAACGGAAAGGAGATATCATATTATTTCGAAATTATTTTCTACATTTGTCTACATCATCACTATTATTATTATTTATCATAAATTCCCACGTTTTCCTCCACTTTCATTTTCATCTACATTTATTCGATTCTTATTAATTCATATTTAGTTCATATTCGGCATTTCGAATATATCCATCTATCACACGTCGTTATCATCTTTTGTGTACGCCATCCTTATTCATATTACTTATTACTTATTACATATGTCGCGTGTAATAGCCTCATTTATATTTAATCGATTATTCCCTATCGTCGACTATTATAATCTATCGTTATTTAAAGTAATGAAGTTTGTTTTGATTTTTAACTTTTTTTTTTAATTTTTAACTTTTTATTATTAACATTTATCAATTATTGTTTATTTTTCGATTCTTAATTTTTTTTTTTTTGATTTTTAATTTATTTATTTTTATTATATTTTAATTATTTATTTTCTAAGGAAATTTCCACTTAATGTTTTTTTTCTTTTCATAATTAATCTTTCTCCTTAACCCAACTAATCTAATTAAAAGTAATAATAATAACACTTATTTCTCTCGGGATCCACTTCCACATACTCTACTCGATATACCTTAACAACCATTTATCTACGCTTTTTAATTCTCTACTCTTGATATTCTTAGTATAGAGCTCTTAATAACATCTTTAGTAGTATAGAACTGAGCTGCTACATCCTTTGGTTCAACAATACATCACTATTATTAATTATCATTTATATTTTTATATCTTCTATTTTAAACCTGAATATCTTGATATTTTTTTATAATTTTTAATTTAAACCTGAACACTCGATTTTTATTTTATAATATAATGATAAACAACTTCCTAACAACAACCAGACCGAAAATACACTTTTTCAAACCCAACATAGTTGAATAAAGTTAAAGATACTTGACTAAACAAAAAATAAAAATACATTAAAAAAAAACCTGAAAATAATTTTTTTTTTTATATTTATAAGATACTTGTCTTATTATTCTTTATTACACATTATTATATTTTTTATTAACTTTATTACACTTTTTTTTAAAAAATTATTTTATAAACTGAGTTGTCCTCTCAATTTATTAAAAATGTAAGGTTTATACCACTGCAAAGGTGTGTTGGGATTAAATCAGGGTGTACAAATAAAAGAAGAATAGAATAGAATAGAATTAATATTGATTGAAAAAACAGTTTCAGTACCTTCAATGATTCTGGCAAATACAGTATATATAAATAGAATATAACAAATATAACAAATATAGAAAACATAACAAATATAACAAATATATCAAATATATACGTATATTATATAGTAGTATGTAAATGGATGGCACAGAAAATATATTATAATAACCATTGTTGATACCTAATACTTTAAGACTTTAAAGTTTAGGCCAGATTTCATTTTATAAACAAATTTAATTTTCTTCTCTGAAAATTCCACAAATTCTTTTAATAAGATCAAAAATAAAAGGAACATTCCTTTGCAAATATATATATATATATAAAAAGATTTTGGAAAGGACATGTCAAATTTAATTCAATATTTTATTGTTTTTAACATATAACAAAAAAACAAAAATTCAAATTCATTAAATTCCACAATATCTTGGATTTATTATACATTTTATTGATGAACATTGGAAGATGCAATGTTTTCTTTTAGATTTAATTCATTTTGCTAAATTTGCTCTCAAGGCTAATTTTATTAACATGTTAGTATATATGTATGAATAAGTTAAAGATCAAGAAACATTATATAAATACAAATAGGTCATAAAAGACCATAAAACATGGTTTAATTTTTAAGAATTACAGAAGAAATATTGTTTTCCCCCATGCCATGTTTTGTACATCAAAAAATGATACTGAGTTTTTAAAAAATATTATTGACCACTCCAACATAGAGATTGCACATTCTATTAGACAAATTACATTAAAATTACATTAATTACATCAATTATAAGATTATATACACCCATTCAATCTTGCACATAATAAAAGAAAATGAAAAACTAAATCCAAAAAAAAATAAAAAATTAAAGAATAATAGTAAAAAAAGAATCTTCAAAAGAAAGATCCTCCAAAGAAATTTTAAAAAAAAGAAAATAGATAATTTTTTCTTTGTATAATTATATTGAATCTAGTATAGTATTAGAATTCCCCTGTCAATGTCAACAAATAATCGAGAATATTTATGAAATATGAT